AGAACTTTAGCTATTTTTTGAGCTAAAAATAAAAAATATTTGTTAGTAAAATTAAAAACTTTTATATGTAAGGAAAATCATGTATTTTATTAATTATAATTAGTAAAAAATTTAAGCATTGCATTATTTTTGATTGCCACTGTATAAAACTTATTTAAGTTCCAAAAATTGCTAATTACAGACAGATAAAAGCTATATATTCGATTACATCCGATTGAGACAGAATTATCTTTCCGATATTTTTAATTAATAGTCCAAGGCAGATTTTCAACTTGGGTCGATCAAAAAATTTCCAGGAAATTTTATCCGGCACTAGCCCGGAAAGATCACCTGGTTCAGCATTGTCTATCCCGGAATTTATACACGTGCATTCGGAATGATTGGCTGAAAATATTGAATCTAACCGAGAATTTTCAAGTAACATAATATTTACATTTCTACAATGTCGTCGTTAATTGAGGAATTCAATGAACAGTCCAACGAGGCCATAACTCCCTCTTATGGCGGAGTGATGAACACTTTTCTTTTGGATACTGGCTTCGAGACTTCAGACCCTGTCATGGTAAAAAATATCTATTTGTTTGCTTGCATGTTTTCATAATGTAAATTCTAATTCTATGGAGCTGTTCTTAGCTAGAGACGGGCTTTGTAAGCACGGGTCTTGCAGAAGATGACTCGCGAATATTTACTCTAGATAGAGTTCAGTTTCAGTTTCCTGCAGCGTTGGTTGCTATGACCGTATCTAACGAAGTACTCATTATGGCATTAGAGACCAATCACATTTTAAGAATAGACTTACAGCAAGCGCATGATGTAGAAGGTACATTTTCAGCATTTATTTCAATCCGGTTTTCATATAATCTAAAAGATCAGACATTCCAACTATATCTATCAATAAAATTGTTTCCTGCTGAATTTTCATAATTATCCAAGATATTGAAATACCAAAAAAGCCCGGCGAAGTGAAAATCTATAAAATTTTCTTGGATCCTACCGGTCGGCATCTCTTAATCACAACTGAACAAGGCGAAAATTTTTATTTATTTAAAAAATGGAAAAAGGCTAAACCACTTTCGAAATTAAAAGTATGGACTCTGAACTTGAAATTACGCGAATTTTTTTGAATTGATAAAATAACAAATATTTTTTATAATGCGCCTATGTAAATTTAAAAAAGAGCATTATAATCGAGTCAGTTGCTTGGAATAAATTTACCGGCGTCTCCTCAGACATCTCGACAAAAAAGATTCTGGTCGGTAGTAGAAATGGATTGATTTTCGAAATAGAGATCGAACCTACCGAAGAATATTTCAAAAAAGAAGAAAAGTTTTGCAAACAAGTATTTACTATTATTATTATTATTATTATTATTATTATTATTATTTAATATACACATTTTTTATTTCGTGATTAATTGTCGGAATTGAGATGATAATAACAATCAAATAATCTTCAGGTATATTCAATAAATGAAAATATGCCAATCACAGGGCTCCGATTCGAACAATTCCCTACAAATCCTCGAAAATATTTTATCGTAGCCACTACACCAACACGGATATATCAATTTATTGGGAACGCGAATCCTAATGCAGATTTTGATGGTGGCTCAATGTTTGAGACTTTATTCTCGAAATACGAGGTAAACCCAGGTAAATAGCTATTTTATTCGGATCAGGTTGCCTGCTATTTATGTACGAGCATTTAATATGATATTTCTCATTTTAACAGGTTTCCAAGAACTGCCTGGGAATTTGGATTATAGTGAATTACATTTCTTCACACCTTTCCAAGATTTACAATATCAAGGCACTCCAAAAAATTTTGCTTGGTTAACCGGTAAATCAATTGATTATCATAAGTTTACAGCAATTAGTAAGTAAACCTTATGAATTTTTTTGTTTTAATAGGACCTGGAATATATCATGGAAGTCTGGTGTTTGGCTCGCAAGAGATTGGTGATAGTGTTATTGATAGTGCACAACTATTGCCGTATGTATTATCATGTTAATTTGCTTTATTTACTTATCAATAAATCCAAATTCATTTATAATGTGTTTTACAAATCAGATATCCTGCTACTCCTTCAGAAACAGATTCCTCAGCTCTAGTATCGGAAAGTCCATTATCTATAACGCTTACCGAATTTCATTTCATATTGCTTTATAAAGAGCGCATAAGGGCAATCTGTCAATTGAACGATCAAATTGTATACGAGGAGGTTATCCCACTTGTGAGCAGAAAACATATACTAAAATCTTTATTTGAAAAATTCATATTTGTATTAATAAATTATTATTTAAAATTTTCCAGAAAGCGAATGAAGTAGTTCGAACAATGACAGTAGATACGGTCAAAAATACATTTTGGATATATACCGATTCGTCAATTTTTGAGCTTATTATCACGAAGGAAGATAGAGACGTCTGGAAGCTTTATCTCGATAAGCAAATGTTTGATACTGCTTTGACTTATTGCAAGGTAAAGGCTGTGTTATCTATTAATATATCCCATTTAAATGAAAACACATTAATAAAAAATAAATAATTTCCAACATGTTTAGAATCCAGCTCAACGTGATAAAGTACTTACCACCCAAGCAGATTATTACTTCTCGCAAGGCCGATTTATTCTTTCTGCAAAGTATTATGCACAATCAACAGTTCCTTTCGAGGAGGTAGCATTGAAGTTTGTTGAACGAGATGAACGAGACGCCCTTCGAGATTATCTAATGAATAAGCTCGAGAAACTCAGACGCGTAGTATGTTACTTTCTATTAAATTTCACGAATTTTTTCCATACTTATAATTTTTAATAAATTCTGAAATTCAGGATTTAACGCAAAAAACCATGATTGCTACATGGCTTGTAGAAATTTTTTTGAGTAAAATTAATCTTTTGGAGGATAAAGCTGCTTCGGGTGCTGGAGTTGAAGAGTCAGAAAGTTATAAAACTGAACAGAAATTGCTAGTAGATGATTTCAAAACTTTCCTTCAAACATACAAGGTTTGGAACATTCAAATCCCTCATATTCAGAGTAATGATTGAACTCATTAATAAAGAATCTGTATTTCTCTTATCCAGACAGATTTAGATAAACGTACCACATATAATCTTATTGCAAGCCACGGACGCACCGAAGAACTATTGTATTATGCCACGTTAATTGGAGATCACGAAAAAGTTATATCCCATTGGATCGCCGAGAAGGATTACAAACAAGCACTTGATGTGCTCAGCAAGCAGGTATTCAAATATTTTAAATACAGTTTAATTTAAAACTCTAAACATTGACTAAATACGTGGTTCTTAGGGCTCGGTTGATATATTCTATAAATTTGCACCAGTTCTTATGGAAAATGCACCCTATGAAACAGTTAGCGTTTTAATGCGTCAAACTGAACTCGATCCGCAATATTTGATCCCTGCTTTGTTAAAATACGATCATTCAAAAACTTCAGACAATATTAGTACGGTAAATTCTATACTCATTAACATTATATTGATTATTGTATTGACGCATTTGTGGAATAACTATTAGTTTTTTTTTTCAATAGAACCAAGCAATAAGATACCTGCAATATGTGATTCAACAAACAAATAATGTAGATCCAGCAATTCACAATTTTCTCTTAACACTATACGCAACGCAGCCTACATCCGACGAAACTGATTTGCTAAAGTTTCTGGCAACGGAAGTATGTATTTTCATATTCCCTTTAGGAATAAATAGCAAAATTACTTATCTAAGATGATTTTTGCGGTAGGGTCATGAGCCACATTATAATTTAGATTATGCGCTTCGACTTTGTACCCAAAATGGAAGAATGCAGAGTTGTGTGCATATCTATAGTAATATGGAACTTTATGAAGAGGCCGTCGATTTGGCACTAAAGGTAGATAAATTATTACGCTACTTTTATTGAAAATCCATAAAATCTATACTGTCCTATATTTTATTAGCACGGAGATATAGAATTGGCGATAATTAATGCTGATAAACCAGAAGACGACAAACCTCTTCGAAAAAAGCTCTGGCTAAAAATTGCACGCCATGTAGTTGAAAAAGAGGGAGATATAAAAACGTAAATACAATTTAGCGCGTATTGTTTCCAATTTTTTTGAGTCATTTCCATTAATTCTGGAATTACGTTTATTATAGGGCAATGAACTATTTACAGCGCTGTGAATTGCTAAAGATTGAAGATATTTTACCATTCTTTCCTGATTTTGTCCTTATTGATGAATTTAAAGTGATTATTTTTGCTATTATTCAAACATTCTTAATAAATTAATTAATTAATAGTACTAATATTACTAATATTCAAAGGAAGAAATTATCACTGCACTTGAGGAGTATAACACTCATATCAATGATCTCAAGGCTGATATGGAAGAAGCGACAAAGAGTGCTGAAAGTATAAGACTTGATATCAGAGAGCTACGTTGTCGGTAAGTTTTGCAAAAATTCACCCTATTGTTAACCTCTTTTCTTACATATTAACATGCATTTCGTGGTTTTCTTAGGTTCGCGACCGTTTCTACAGATGAAAGATGCTCTTTATGTGATTTTCCATTGCTTACTCGACAATTTTACGTGTTTCCTTGTCAACACGCGTTTCATTCTGATTGTCTTATCACTCAAGTGAGTCGTGTTTTTAATTAGGATTGGATATTAAAAATTTACCACATATTGTTAATCGGAATATTATAATTAATAGGTCACCAAACATCTCAAAACGAAACAACTTCGTCGTATTCTTGATCTTCAAGATCAAATAGCCCGTGAAATAGCCAATAAAAATATCGACAACAATCCTTCTAAACAACAACCAAAAGGAGGAGGAGGCGGCGGGGGAGGATTTGATCTTCTGAAAGGATTTATAATGTCTGATAATGCAGCCACCCCGGGAGACGATGCTGTTGTCATTGTGCCGAAAGTTGATCAGCTGAAGGTATGCATATATATATATAAAAATTCTAATGGAAGTACCCTTACTAATCTGCTTTTCATATTATATCCATTCATTATCTTACAAAAGGATGAATTAGATGATTTGGTTGCATCTGAATGTATTTTGTGTGGTGATATTATGATCAAAAGTATCGAACAGCCATTCATCAAGGAAGAGGAAAGCGAGATACTCGCGTCTTGGACCGTGTAACTTAATGGAGCATTTTATAATTTTTTTGAATAGATTCTGCGAAAAATGTATATTAATAGAATTAACTTAGCTAAAAACATATTTATTGTTTTATATAAACTGCTAGAGTATAAAAAAAATCAGTAAAAAAATTTACTGTAAAATTCTAAAGTGCTGATCATTTAAAATTTCATCATATTAAACTCGTCGCGTTTATGAAAGCTAAACTTTATCTTACCCATTCCTCGTTCCATACTCCTAATTCTCGGCATGAAAAGTTTATTTTGGACCATCCATTTAATCACCAAGTCGAACTTTTCCTACCAGGCGACATTTCTTTACATCAAGCGCATTCCTGTTCACGCAAAGGATTCTACTATCGAGCTGAACTCCCCTTAACTTATTTTATTGAAAAATCTTTTGTTCAAGAATACATAGCAACCGGTATGGAAATCTAGGTTATCTCGACTTAAAAAAGCATATTGAATCAATGATATGTCACTTTATACTGTTTAAAGGCGAAGTTATTGCCTTAAGCCTTAGTGAAGGCATTGATATTACGAATGTTTTTGCTTTAGATGGAAAAGGTAATTTAAAGTTATTATCCATTTTGAAACGTAACGACGCGAGTCATTTTCATGATAGATTTTTAGAATTATCTATTTAGGAAACTTGATTCTTCATTTAACCAAAGACACTTATGAAGAACTTGGTCTAACAGGAAAGCCGGCTAAATTTGGACCAAAACGTCAACGATATGGTAAATTATTTTATTTCGTCATTTTTGATAGAGATGCTCTTATATAACAATCATAAGACGTTTCATAGTGGTGACAATTGATGTGCTTGCGGATTCAATGATCCCCGGGAAAAAGGGATATGAAAGAATCAAATGGTGTTTTGAACACACGCTATCCGGGAACTTTCCCTTTCTCATTTCATATGTCAATGTTGGTAATTAAACTTTTTATTCCTTGTTTTTTTTTGTTTATTTATTCTGTATTAAATTGCGTAAATTTTTTCATAATTTATAAGCTGATAAGAAATATCGTGAAATTAATTTCCCTAGCGCGATCAAAACACAAAAGATATTTTTGAACGAATCATTATCCAGAATAGAAAATATCCTTACACCAGATTTAAATTCCATAAAGCTGACAACGAATAAAGAGGAATGGATATCCAATGCAATAGAAATATATGATTGGATTGGGATGGCCTCTATTAAAGCACAAAGGTAAAATTAATAACAGACCTATTTTTTTTAATAACAAATAATAAATCTTTTTTTTACTATTTTAGGATTCGCGAACAGGATTCTGTTGATCCATATATATCAACTTATCGATCACCCGAACCTTGCTCTAGTCAGAATGGGATTTTAGTGCGTTGGACTGGATTTGTTTCTGGTGTGATGATTAATGATTTACTTGAATCTATTCGGTAAATAATAAAGATTAATATTACATTGATATAATTGATATTTAAACATTACAATCGCTAAATATATTGTGTTCATGCTATTTCTATATTTATAAATTCAGTAACCTTTTTCATAAGAATAATGATTCCGAATCGATTCCTCTTCCTTGGGCTTCATTGAGTGTTTGTGGCTTCCAAGACTCGCCTATCTCATGGCGACCTCATGAACATGGGTACCTTATGAACGGTGATAATAATTACACTTTTTTGATGTCGCCGAATGTCAATGATGTTGCTTATATATTGTTTCAATCGCTGGGTCCTTTTGATAATTTTTCCTAGATTGACTTTGGCTTTTGTGTATATATTATGTATATGATTTATTTTAATTCTTTTCAATTGACAGAATTATTATACTGCTGAGTGTCAATCTAGCGTAAAAGGAAAATCATTATACAATAAAAATAATGATAACGATAACAATATCACGCACACAAGTTTATTCATTTTTATTTTTGTATTAGTAATATTTTTTGTTTAAGTACCCAAAAGATTTTTATTTGTTAAATAACTTCTTTATACATCATCACCACTATCATCATCCATTTCTTCCAAATTATCATCACTACTTTCGTCATCATCTGTCTCATCTTTGTCATCATTAACTGTGACTGGTGTTTTCTATTAGATGTAACGTAAAAAGAGAATTAAAATACAACTATCCATGGAATAAGAAAAGTTGTTATTTAAACTTACATCTTTTACGGGTATTTTACTTGTTCCTAATGGAATTCCTCTACCTTCAAATACATGACGAACTCCAGCATTTGTGGATATATCCCATATATAAACACTTCCACTTGATCCGGCAACCGCCAATTGAAAAGGTGAATCTGGACAAAATTGAAGGGAAAACACTTTGCCCTGTATTGGTATAATGAGATTAATTTTCTTATATATAATATGATGCAAACATAAGTAAACAAAAATGACATACCACACTCAGATCTCTGCTTGTCACCATATTAGGCTTTAAACTTTTGACATCCCAAACTTTAACCGTCTTATCCGGCGATCCAGTCACCAAACAACCTTCAATTAACGGATTCACGTCTAACGCCGATACCGAAGAATCATGTGCATGTAGAGTGAATAGCGGGTGATGATTCTTGTTATTGTCATTTCCCGTATTTCTCGCGTCAAAACACAGGACAAGTCCCTCTTCGGTGCTCACATAAAATTGTTGGGGTGAAAATGGATTCCATTGAATACATTCTGGATCCGAAGAAATATTCCATGTTTCGATGGCTTGTGGTGATCGACTGTCGAATGCTGTCACTGTTTTATCGTATGAAGCTGTAATTAGTATTGTTGATTCAATGGGATGCCATTGAACTTGTTGAACCTGTAATTAACTAAATATTAATTCTATTGTTAAAATAATATAGCAGCAATTAAATTCAAGATTTACTTTGTCTGAATGATGATTAAATGAATGCGCGCATATGAATTTTTGAAGATCCCAAAGTTTTACAGTTGTATCAGCTGAAGAACTCGCAAGAATATTTCTAAGCAAAATGTTTATTATAAATGAATATATAGAACAAATAAGGTGTTTCAATCTTATTATTCTCACCTGTGTTGTTTATTCCATGCAAGTGACATGACAGCATCTGTATGATAATTCGGATTTATTTTCTGCAAGGATGAATGTCAACATGAATACAAATAATATAAACATAAGCAAATTCGAATAACATCATCAAAAAAAACCTTTTCTCTTTTTTTTTTTCCGCCACCTTTCACCTCACGATTCCCAATAATCGCATCTGGATACATCGACTCCATAGTATCCAGATCCCAAATCTCAATTTCCGGCTCAAAAGTGCCAACGGCAATGTAATTCCCACCACCGGGCACGTCCGACTTTCTACCTAGCCTGAAATCCAGCCATTCCAAGCATAGGGGAAACGACGGTAACATGATATCATGATGCACATAAAGATTATCATTGGATTCTTCGTAAACGTAGATTTCTAGTTGTGAGATCTCGTCCTCGGTTTTTGCTGCTACTAGGAGATTATCGGTTTTTAGAATTCGTAAATCTTCAGCTTCAGAGCCGTCTTCCTTTTTTTAGTTCATGAATATTTTAATTTCGGTATATTATTAATTTTATTTATTTTTATTTTTTACCTCGTCATTTAATGTTAGATATGGATCTTCTTCATTAGACGCGTAATATGTTAATGACTTTACACTCCCAAAGAATTTGATTGCTGTATTTTTTATCATCCAAATGAAATTGTAAATGAATTTATATATGTAAATATTTATTTTTTCACATTAAAAAAGACATCATACGTCTGCCTTCAATTTTCTCTTCATCGTCATCATCATAATTCTCCAAATTATATTCTGCCAACTCAGGATCTTCTTCCTTTTTGACATCATTCATTTGTTCCTCTTTAATTCTTTTTTTTATATTTTAAAAAGGAAAAAATCAATTTATTAACTAACAGATCAAAAAACTGGTCTCGATTGTATTATCATGATTTATTTTATTCTAATTATTTTTTTAATTACTCTTTTAACTCTTCTCGAGCTTCTTTCAGTTCACCAGCTGTCAATACATTTATGCGTTCATATTCTTGTTCGGTAAGTTCATATTTCTAATAATATTTGAATTTATATATCATGATATATAAAAATTTAAAAAAGTCGATAATCGATAATTAATCTCGAATTAATTCAAAATAATAGGAATCAATCACCTCCGGTTGTTCAGCAGCAACTCCTTTTCGCACCCAATGTAACGAAGAAATCATTTTGGTTTTATTAGATATTAACGATTATAAGACTACGCTAACGCTAAACGAAAAAATTTATAATTAGATCTTCTAATCCAACCAATCATGTATGTATGATTCCTAATGAAACGCGTTTAAAAACTTAATATTAGGTATTAGGTATTTTGGTTAACTTTCGACCAAAAAAATCGCAAAATGATAATAAATTTTCTGCGAGCATTTACTAGAAATCGGGGGACAATTAATAAACCGCATTTATTCGATTATAGTAATTACAATAACAATAAACGCATTCAAAACTTATCAACTAGGGTTATTACGACAACTAACAACAACACTTTTAACAATTGCCATGTCTATAACAACTTGTTACTATTAAACAAAACAGCTTATCACGCTTCACTAATAAAGCCTAGAACAGCAACTTCACATTCTCTGATAGAATTACAAAAAAAACCCTTTCTCGCCACTTATGCTACGCTAAACCAAGTGCTTCGGGGCTGTCGTCGTTCGAAACGTCGTCTTTCAAAAAGTCCCGCGTTGGAAGGTAACCCACAAAAAAAAGGGGTGTGTAATAAAGTATACACGACCAAACCAAAGAAACCGAATTCGGCAGTGAGAAAAGTCGCACGTGTTAAATTGTCAAACGGAAGATTAATCATTGCTTATATTCCAGGAGAAGGGCATAATTTGGTATTTATCGCACGCACATTTATTGCTTTTAATTGATATCTTAAAATGTTATTTATATTTTCTCGCGCTAAATAAGACCGAGCATTCGGTTGTGCTTGTCAGAGGTGGTCGAGTTAAGGACTTGCCAGGTGTTCGGTATCATTTGGTGCGTGGCGCTTTGGATTTTCAAGGTGTTCCCAATCGGAAAACTTCAAGATCAAAGTATGGCACAAAGAAACCTAAGCCACCAGCTAAAGCTTAAGAGAATATTTAGTAAAAAAATTGTAAATTCATCAAAATATATCAAATATAAAATCTACTGATCGACGACCCGCAATCATTCTTTCAAGTGATACAATGGTACAGTGCTGCGGATTCTATCGAAATAATTGAATTTTCACAAAATTTAAAAAGTTTAGCCCAAAAGAATAATTCTATAAATAATGAGCATAAATTTGGAAGACGGTATAGCTGCAAATGCAAAAAGAAAAAGAACCCTAGAAGTGTATGTAGAACCGCCAAACAATTTGGATTTGGACACGTACATCGCAAACTACAAAGGTCCGTTCATTATCTATACAAAAAGGCTTACGCGTTCGTTACTACATTATGAAGCTGATATACTAAACAATCTTATCGGTTTCACATTGGATTACTGTATATAAATAAACAGGGCACACCAAAGTTGACCGTCTTCTTTTCATAGCGAAACGTTGTCCTGCTCTTCAAATTGAAGCTTATAAACTGGCCCTACAAGAGATACAAACAAGCACACTAGATCATAATAAATATATTGCTGCTGCTACAAAACTCAACGAGGCGTTGTCAGCACAAGGACGACCTCTGTTTCAAATTGATTCAGCATGGGTGGACTCGACTCAGAAGCGCGCAAAGTCGACAGTGGAAAGATTGGAGGCTGAATTAAAGAACTATAAAAATAATTTGATTAAGGAGAGCATTCGGGTACGTGTATTTGCTGTTCTAAGCTGTCAATGATTTAGAAATTATAATTCATTTATTCTTGTTTAGTTTGATCCTATTAAGTTATCTTTAAATTGATTGCTAGATGGGACATAATGAGTTGGGGGATCACCATTATAATTGTGGTAGCCTCACAAATGCATTAAAATGTTATTCGAGGACTCGCGACTATTGTACCACTGCTAAGCACATTATAGAGATGTGTTTGAATGTGATCAAGGTGAGATCGAGGGAAAGAACTATCATCAGAGTTTGCTTGAGCATTTCTTTCCCATAATAATCAAATATTTTTTCATTCTCTTTGAAGGTTTCGATTGAACTTGGCAACTACTCGCACGTACACAGTTATGTTATCAAAGCAGAATCCACACCGGATATCCCACCGGTGGTACAAGCCCAATTAAAAGTGGCCGCTGCTTTAGCACATCTTGACAGTAGCAAATATAAAGTGGCAGCACGACTATTTCTCGAAACTGGGTTTGATCTTTCAAATAATTATTCAGAGGTATTCTTCAGCTACTTGATTTTTTGAAAGTTTCCTGATAAAAACTCGTTAATGATGACAAAACAATAAGGTTATTTCGCCTAACGATGTAGCGGTGTATGGAGGCTTGTGCGCACTGGCTTCATTTGATCGAGCAGAATTAAAAAGTAAAGTCATAGACAACACAGAATTCAAACAATTCCTCGAACTTGAACCTCATATTCGGGAATTAATACATGGTTTTTACCATTCAAAATATGCCCTCGTGTTGGATATTTTGGAAAAATGGAAGGTAAGAAGACAGATTTATTTCATTAATGTATCCATAGTGGACAGATTGTGTTTTGAATGTTTGGAATCATTATTTGTTCCCCATAGAATGATTATCTCCTGGATCTTCATTTGCATAATCATTTGGAAACACTTTACGACAATATCCGCAAAAAAGCACTCATCCAATATTTCAGCCCTTTCCTCACAGTGGATCTAAACAAAATGGCACAATCATTTTGTACGGAGGTCCCGAAATTGGAAAGAGAGCTCGCGAAATTAATTACCGAAAATCAGATTCAGGCGAGAATTGATAGTCATAATAAGGTTTTTTATTCCTAAATTTTTATTTTATGCTGGGATTTTATTTTTCACTCATTCATTCGTTTTTAATATCTTTAGATTCTTTGCGCAAAGCAGCAAGACCAAAGAAGCGGAATATTCCAAAATTCATTGAAGATGGGCGAGGAATACGAAAAGAACACTAGTGCCATGTTACTTCGTATGAATTTATTGAAGCAAAATCTCGTAGTTAACAAGGACTCAAAGTAATTATCTGTTTCCATTAGAGTTTTCATTTTAATTTAATAAGGATGTCGATGATGAATGTTTAATTTTTATCTTCATAATAGGCAAGATTAAAAAATTACGTTGTGTGCGAAGATTATTTATTTAAGTGGTTTAAATCAAATTATTCTAAATTAATGATAAATATAAAGAGACTAAATAATAATAGTCTATGTATGTGTCAATTAGAAGAGTATATTTTGCAATTGAATGAATAATAAATAAAATTAAAACGCAACCAATTTGAAAAATTTAATGACAGCTTGCACTATCAATCGATGTTCAACTGAATGTATACGAGCTTCCAAATCTTCCAATGTATCAGACTCTAGTATCGGCACACGCTCAACAAGCAACGGCTCACCCTTATCCACCTCCGGAATAACTTTATGCACCATAACACCCGTCTCCGTAATCTCACCCCTTTTAAATGCCTCATACGCGCGTTCTATCGCGTGCGCACCATCAAATTGTCCAGGCAACGCCGGATGTAAATTAATAATTTGTTCAGGAAAGTAGTCGATAAACTCTTTGGATAAGATGTGCATCCATCCGGCCAACACTAACAGATCGGGATTTAATTCTTTGATTTTTTTTGCGAGCGCAATGTCGTAGTCGACGCGTGATTTGCCAATGTCTATATATTCTTTAAGTGTGAGTACCAGTGTTGGTATGCCGGCTTCGGCAGCGCGTACAAGTCCGTATGCAGATTTTTTGTTGGAAACTACGAGTGTAATTGTCGCGTTGAGTGTTGAATCTTTTGCCGCGTCGATGAGGGCTTGTAGGTTGCTCCCGTTCCCCGATATTAAGACTATAATTGAGTTGGACATTTTTGAAATGTAGAAACTGAAATTTCATTGACTTGTGAAATTGTTGATTATTTCAACCAATCATTTGTCGTGAATATCTGTAGAAATCTCTGCGTCTCGATTGAAATAACCTTGAACGTTAAACATGTCGGCCGCCCAAGATTATATCAAATGTTTGGATGACCTTCTTCAAGATCTGGACAATATTGAGGAGTTTGGAACAAACGTCTTTAATAAAATGTATTATTTTATCAATTCTATTTAGACTTATTTCAAAATTTGGCCGATTTTCTTAACGATTGCATGCTTTGATTTAAAAAAAACGCGTAAATAGCGAAAATTCCTTCTCTAGCTCGAACCCAAACTCTACAGGTTAATACTTTACGCGTTTTCTTGTTCTATTCATAGAGAAACACATGTTCATGCCGATTCTATTACTTTTTAAGCTCGAATACCTGTTTATTAACGATAATTTTATTTTCTCCATTCAGATTTAAATTCGCTTACTTTACTTGTTCAAAACTTTGCAATTAATGCAAAAAGAACTGGCGCGAATAGTATCTCGATGGAATCATCTATTCCTTTTGCTTCCCCGATAAATGAAAGCAATAAGCCCAATACTAATAATAATGAAAATAATACTGGTGATATTGCTGGTGGCAGCATAGCAGAAGCCAGTAGCAGTAACGTTGCAAACACCAATCCAGATCCGATACAGAAGCTAACCGAGTTAAACGAACAAAATACGAAATCGATTGCAGAGTTGTTTATTATGAAGGAGCGACTACTAAAGAATATGCAGGCTGCTTCGAAAGTTGGTCGTAAAAAATAAAGTGGTTATGTGTCAGATGGAGTTGTGTGTTTAAGTGAGTCAAAAAGGTTCACGTAGCGTCTTGAAGGTTTTGAGAGTATTGATTTTGTTTATTGATTATTTTTCTATTATATTAATTTTATGTGGAAAGGCGTATAGAGGACGATTTTGTCAATATTAATTGTACCATTATTAATACCATTTAAGCGTTATGCTATAAATATTGCTATCATCCCGTGATAGAGATGATGATAATAATAATAATAATAATAATAATAATAATTAGAGGTAGGGAAAGAGAAAATTCTTTAATAATACAACACGATGGAACATCATAAATCTCTCACTGATTGTTTCTCGTTTCTGGTAATTTATTTTTTTTTACCATTTTAAGAAATAAAAGTTGCTTCGTTGAACAATTTTCCGGTAGAAGTAAATTTATTATCTCCGATGGTGATTTCGACGGTTGCATCATTGAACCATTGATAGATATACGGTTTTGCAACAAATGCTGGAATAATTTGATAGGCGCAAACGGAAGGAACCATGTTAGTCAGTTAACCAACAGATCACTCAATGGTCAACGGCATCGCATCCAATAAAAAAAAGATAAGCTTTCACCTTGTACAATTTTTCTCAAGAAATAAGGAACCTCATTCAACACATCAATCTTATCCATAAGTGTCTGAGGTCTTATATTTATACTCGCCTGAAACGGTTCCTTAGTGTCCAAAGTTTTCCCTTTCCATTTATAAAGTATCACATTCGGAACATGATAACCGGTCTGAGAATCCAACTCCGTCTCCAAAAACTCAGCCGAATTCTCCACAGATACACCCACCAATTTATCATTAACAAGCAAACTTCCTTGATTGACCTTAGTACTACCGTATTGTGGCGTCGTTTCGAACTCCATCATGCACAACGAGGCGTCCGGTGCTTGAAAATTAAGAAAATTCCAACGGGTAGCAATCAAGTGGGGTTTCATGCCTTGAATCGCGTGGACGAATAGTCCTGTACCCGAGATATCAAACGCGCGACCATCCACCACAATGTGCCCGGTGACTTTACATTTCGGCCAAAACTTGTGTTCGACGAATCCACTTTTTTGGTCTTCACCGAAATAAGTTTTTCCTTCGCCGATTTTGAAGCCGCGGTCCACTCGTTCTAGTCCGAACTGGACGGTTAGTTCTGATTTGTGATTTAGGGTTACATCGTATTTGTTGCAGTCGTCGTTTAGTTTGATTTCCATGTTATCAGCTGTTGCTGACCTTCTATCTTCAGAAAGTTTGAAATTGGACATATTGACGGATTTGAAGGTGTTAATACCGGCACCAAAAAATCGAGCAGTAAATTGAATTGTAGAAGACCAAACACTTTGATATAAAATTAATAATAAAATGAAGAAGGATGATGAAATAGATTCATTTCCACGCATAAAATAAATTAATCACTATTTATTAGATAGTAATATAAACGTGAAAGACGTTACAATTAGTTAACAAAATGCAAAGAATATTAATCAATATACCCAATGTTAGAGTAAACCATTTGTACAAAAGCAAAATGACCTTCATTGGTTGACAGATAGAAAGTTTGAGTTTCCGTTGACGAGCCTGAGGCTAGAGTCCACTCAAGATCTTTGGGAGAAACGTCTGAATAGAGGTTATCTTTTGCTAAGGTACTTGCGATATGTAGTTTATTAGACATTATGCTACAGAATCAATATTATAATAATATATATATATTGCTAAATTGCGCGTGTGAGAACTATTGGGTATTTATACCCACTGTAATTATGAGGATTTCCTATTTCTAGATTTTTTTGTTTGTCAACATGTGATTCAGGGAAACTGTTTTAGATCTAACGAATCAAAGTTATCAAGATTGCTATCACTTTCGGTGATTTATCGTGGATTTATAAGATTTGGAAAATGATGTTTCTCGGATGTGGGAGAAGGGTCTTGATTGAATCCAATGTGGAAACTTGGTCTACAGGGTGAACTGGGGAAATTTTTTAAGAGGAAATATAATTTTTATTTGCTCGATCATTGTCTTCTTACTACTACTACTACTACTAGTTTGACATTTAAAGTTAAAAAGAAAAACATAACCGTACAATTAGGGACAAATAATGGGAATCAAAGAATATACCCGTATGAAAGAACGAAATCATGCACGATTCTGGAAATAGTGACAGCAAACAAACACACCCCACAACAAAGGCGGACAAAACCATTAACAATGACAATCAAACTTTTGTTAATTATAGTGGAGTAATGTTGATAGGTTACGTGTTTTTTTTTTAAAGAAAAAACTTGTATATACATTGAAAGGCAGACTCTATTTAGCTATTGGATTGAAATTAATATGATTTGATTGATAGTTCTGCTGCTGTCTAATGACCTCAAGGATACCTTAACAACACACTGTCTGACGCTTATCTAGTCATCAACGTCCACTAGAATTTCATCATTTTTATATGCATCATGAACATTTTTGTCAAAAAATTTAAATATCTGTGCATCACATCACCAATGATCTTTTCAACTCCTTGTTCAAATCTTTATACGACTCGCAAATGATAACTCATCCCGTTGTAGCACTATATCTTCAAATCTAGCATACCTCCATTGTGGATTCGATGTAAGCAGCTGGACTCGTAAAATACATGTCATTGAATCATTGGATACATAAAATTATGACTGAATACCTGTATCGGATTATATATATAACTCTGCTTAAGACCCTATTTTTTCAGAGGATCTAACAGCAATTGCAATTGATGTAAGAATGAAACAAATGCTTTCACGTCTTAGAAACTTTGGCATGTGTCTCAAGTATCCCATGAACGGACCAACATGTATCTTATTCCGGCGACGTATAACTCTATTTATCCTCTAGCACCGAATTAATTAGCCATTCGGCCACCTCCACTGCTGTGAGAATCCATTGAACCAAATGTATATTTACTATTGGCGCTTACGCGCATGATTTTAATCTGAGGAAAAAAGGCTTACACACATCTATGATTTAAATGAGAGATTTTTTAATCTTGGTTGTCGATTAAAAACTTCCACTATTTCAAAAATATTTCAAGTGACACATCTTCATTGAATGAGCTTATTATTATACAACGTTGAACTTGTTATCTATAAATTGTATAAGGTTCAAAGAAATGGCCCATAGTAACACCGTTTCAATGACTTAACTGTTGTAGTTGTCGAATTTAAGTGCATGGGTCGATGAAAGATTCGGGTTCAAAGAAGCATGGGTTAGCAAAATAGTAAATACCAAAAGTCCATATTATTTTAAAAAGAGTAGATATTTAGTACTTTAAATAAATCTAAAGGTAGCGGTAGGTAACATGCATTTATGTTTTGGACATAATTACTGCGCAAAAAAGGAAGTTTTTTAATGAAACTCGAATTTTTGATGGGTGCATTTGATGCCAAAAGAAAAAAAAAGGAACTACTAAATCAAGTAAATTTACGGGATTATTCAAAAATCCTATGCACCAAATGTTATTACTGGTTGCTGAGATTTAATAGGATTTATGCTGGTGTGTGAGAAAGTGCCTGATTTGTATGAGAAATACTAACCCCCTTTTTCTTTTCTTGTAAAAAGAAAAAAAAAAGAATTTTTTCTGGTTTTTTTTTTTCGTTGACTAACTTCTATGTGTGATCAAAACCAGTATAAATACGTATCTCAAATACACATTTCTTATCAATCTTTTTATATTTTTATCAATAAATAAATATATATATATATATATCTATCTACATATATATTTTTTTTTATATTTTTATAGAGCATCAATTTTTTATAACGTTAGAAATAGTAAAGATGGGTCGTCCAATGTACGTTTCGCCATCATTGTCTAAACGACAAGTACCACCTAAACAACAACAGAGTTCACAAACAAACTATTCAGGTGTTGGGGAAGCCACAAGTCAGAATTCAAGGACAAGTGCTTTCGGTAATCGTTATTTTGTCAATAGGAATCTTTTTAATACTCCACTGTCATACAGTCCAAACAGTGGAGTTTTTAATTATTCCTCTCATCAGGATAATAATAATGAAAATTTAACTGACCCTACAACAACATCAACAACAACAATATTAGAGATTCCAGAGTGGCAGACTGTTACCAATAGAAGTGGAGGAGACAATAACAGTAGTCAACGGAGTGAACGCAGAAGACGATCATTATCGTATGACGTTCATCAGCATATTCAACGACTTCATCAGTTACAGCACTTACATCGTACACGAGAGCAAATGGCCGCATCCTCATCTTCATCTTCATCGAATTTCGCCACTAGACGTGGCCTTCATTTAATTAATGTTCAAAATGAACAAGGAATACAGTCGAGACATATTTCACTTCCACCGCTTAGAAGTTCAGCGAGATTTCGACCTAATGATGAACATCGTATAAGACATCGTGATCGTACGCATCATATTCGTGCTCATAATAGCAATAACAACAATCATATTGATGTTGATATGACTTCTACCACACATAATTCATCAGATAACCATAGCAATAACAATAATAACCGACAACAGATCACAGCAGCAGCAGCAACAACAACATCATCATCATCATCGAGTACTTCTGCAAATCCTTCATCAGCAGCTTTAGATGATGTTATTCGTAGAGTGAATATATTAAGACAAATGGCACAACATCAAGAAAGATTACTAAGACCACGATATCGATCTTCTCATAATTCACACAGAAATTCTTCCTCATCATTAATATCACCTGCATCAACGGCAATAATATCACCCACATCATTATCATCGACGACACCGGCATCTTCAACTGGAACACCCATGGAAGTAACATCAATATCAAGTACAGTCAGGGATGAATTACTTCAACAACAAATGAGACTACCACGAATTTCTATTGATAATTCAACGCTTGTTGGTGAATTTGGCACATTTCCTGCCCCATCTTCATTAAATCATCATCATCATCGTTTAAATGGCACTAATGGCATGTCATCAACAACGGCAACAAATAACCATCATAATAATATTAATAATAATAATAATAATAATAATAATGGTGGTGGTGCTGGTGGTGTATTCTATGATAATCCTATCGTCTTTGGATATATTGACGAAGAGGATGAAGACTCCTCATCATCGATCCAGAATCAACATACTCGCATATTGTCTCCCATACCAAGGAGATACAATCACAATAATACCTATTCAAATGCACTGGCTGCTGTATCAAGTAATGTAGTTGAATTGGATGAAGATGGGTATGAAGTAGATGGGAATAACCTTCGAGATCAATACATGCATCACGAAATTACCAATTCCATTATTGCTGCTGACGTCGCAACAAATAATCCTACGTCTAATCACGAGGACAGGATCGATCTTCCAAGGAGTTCTGCATCGGGAGAATGTTGTTGAGAATATCTAATTTTGTATATCAATCTTTGTGGGTATCATTACCCTCGTAATCAATCAAGCATATATAGTAGACATTGTAAGAGAAATAAATGAATTTTCTAGATCAATTATCGATATATAAACATATAAATACATTAATTGTAATAGATTATAAAAGCAAGAATAATCCTAGCATTTATTATCAAACATCATCTCTGTTATATTGGTGGTGGTGGTTGGTGAAAAATTTTTTCACATTCATTCATTCATTCATTTATTTATTATAATTTTTATGTAAACTTTTGAAACACGATTTTCAATGAACTAAGAAAAAATTTTTCTCCCGCGTAAATTGTTTCCTAATCTACTGTTCGGCATCATTGTTTATGTTCCTGAAAAAAAATCTTTTTTTGCGCAGCATTAATGTCGAATAATAGTCGTGCTCGTTTCGAAGTAACTATAGACAATGGAGGCAAAATGCCACAACTTGCTTTATCGCATCCCACACTACCGGCAACCACTACCATAGTTCTAAACTTGCGAAAATCTCTGGGAATACTTTCTCTCTTGCTTATTGCTTCAACACTTTGGAGCGCCTACTACATTAATTCAAACCCGCATCGTGTGATACAACTCCCGGTTGGTATTTCACACGACGCTTTCAAAGAAGGTCAACGGAAATGTGCGGAACTAAAAAAACGGCCGACTGACTACTCGGGCAGAGAGAGAACCTATAACCCGAGGCGAGAACCCGACACGCAAGCTATTCTCTTGAAAAATGGGATAATTCTCGATGGTATTGGTAACGAAATTCACGGAGACGTATATCTTAGGGATGGGCTGATTTTTGCTGTTGGTGAGAACTTGACGGTTGAAGACCAATGCACCACAATTATTGATGTGAAAAAGAAGTACATATCGCCGGGGCTTGTTGATATGCATAGGTTAGTAGTTTATTAGATAAATCGGCACTAAAGAGGGAATGACAGATACTAGCTAATATCACTTAATATGGATCTCCCTGAGACTTTCTGACAAGCATAAAGTGATTTTTAAATGTATTTGAGAATCCCTTGCCATCAAGGGTATTAGTTAATCTCTGTCATTTCCCCCCCCCCACCAACAGAATCAATAGAATAAACTAGCGTGATTTAGTGATCATGCCATGGATAAAATGAATTTTCGAGAATATCGATATTTTGATTATTGATCTCTTGTGATTTTTCTTTGCTTCTATTTTAAAACGAAAAGTCACTTGGGGGTTGACTCCTGGCCGGAATTACACGGTACTGAAGATTACAATGAAAAGACTGATCCAATTACACCTTATGTATGTATTCTTTCATTATCATTGGAATGAGAATAAAAGATTAAGCTGGCGTGCGGGAAATAAACTGTAAAAAAAAATACAATAATAAATTTGCTTAGACGCATTTGGATTTGAATTTATTCTTGATTCTCAAAAATTAATTTCTCTTGAATTTATCAGGTTCGTTCCATCGATGGTCTTAACCCTAGCGATCTAGGTATTTGATCTATTCTTCCATTTGCTTCAATCTTATTTTTTAGATTTATTGTTATATAAATAGGTGAATTTATTTTTTTTCCAAATAAGCCATTCCAATTATTGCATCCGGAGGTGTTACCACGTCATTAGGTAATCTACTTTTTTTTAGGCTGGATATATGATTTCTTCCAATTGAATTTGTATAGATTGCGGGTATATTCGAAAACATTTTCGCACAAATCTCACAATTCTCTAAAAAATCTTAGTTTTGCCGGGAAGTGCCAATGTAATGGGCGGAGAATCTTATGTAATTAAATTACGTCCTGTGAAAACTTTGTCCGTTGAAGATATGCTGGTTAATGCACATTTGGACTCGGAAAATGAGAAATCGTGGAGGTGGATGAAGATGGCTTGTGGTGAAAATCCCAAAGTATATGTTAAATAGAATTAACTTTAGCCAAACCTAATATCAACAACTATGTATTAATAATAATCTAATATTCATTTTAGGTAATATATGGCAGATTAAGAATGCCATTCACACGACTGATGCCATTCACACGACTGGGCGAAGGTTGGTTACTCAGAAAAACAATATTTGAGGCGATCGCGCTAAAACAGAAACAAGATGACTGGTGCGAAAGTGCTGATAGAGCTGGTAGCAACGAGCAATTGAATACTCGATTCCCCGAAGATTTGAAGTATGAACTTTTGGTTGCGTTGTTGAGAGGTGATGTGAAGTTGAATGTACATTGTTACGAGGTTTGTTTTTCAATTTTGTCTATTGTAAGAAATCGCATAACAACTCATGTTAAGTAGAGTATTTTCTCTTCTCGTACAAATACATATACACACATATAAATATATAGACCTATGATTTAGAATCTTTAATTAGGCACTCGCTCGAATTCGATTTCCCTATTGCTGCGATTCATCATGCACTAGACGCGTATCGTGTTCCAGACATTATAAAACGCGCAAAAAACCAAATCACGATCGCCACATTTTCCGATCTATGGGGATACAAAAAAGAGGCGTTTCAGGCTAGTACAAAAAGTCCGAAAATCTTGGCGGAAGCTGGAATTCCTGTTGCGTTGAAAAGTGATCATCCCGTGACTAATGCGGTAACTATATTGCATAATTTATTTTTTTTTTTTCGGTTCTAATTCATTGTTTATCCCTTAATTTCAAATACTTGTAGCAACATTTGGCCTACGAAGCAGCAAAAGCTCATCATTATGGACTCGATAAGAATCTTGCGTTGGCCGCTGTCACTTCCGTACCGGCTAAAGCTCTTGGTCTTGATCACCGTATCGGTAGAATCGGTGTTGGATATGATGGCGATCTTGTGGTATAATTAATCAAATATTTTAATTACAAACAGAATTTATTCTGATAATTATTGGTTTATTTCGAACTTAAAAACAAATGATGCTCTTATTATTTAGGTTTGGGATGATCATCCACTTGCTCTTGGTGCTACACCATTAGAAGTTTATATTGACGGAATATCTCAATTTGGAACACCAAAATCTGTTTTATCGAAACCCTCCGGCAAAAATCCATTACCAGAGATTAATTCAGGACCAATTGAACAACGAAAAACACGCACCGCCTCCACTATTTTCATCAAAAATATCGGAAAGGTTTATCTTGATGAAAACTCTGAACTTGATGCTACATCCTCGAACAGTGAACGGATAAGTTTATTGGTCAAGGAGGGAATTATCGAATGTATAGGAGCATCATGCAATGATGAATCGATTTCTAACACGGTTGATGTTATTGATCTGAATGGTGGATATGTGTTGCCTGTAAAGTATATGTATTTTTTAGCTTTTAGATCGTCATTATCTTTTTTATATTGTTGATAAAAAATATTAATCTTTTAGGGATTTATAGCAGTCGGCTCGAATCTTGGACTTTCAGAGATAGAAAGCGAAGTTACCGCGAGAGACGGAGATATCGCTTCTCTATCTAATCCCAATGACACAGATCATTTAGTTTATGCAATTGACGGCTTAAGATTCGGCGGTAGACATTTGGAGGAGGCATATAAGGCTGGAATTCTTAATGCAGTGACTCCGCCTTTGTCGAGTAATGGCGTAGTGAATGGAATTTCTGTTGCGTTTAAAACGGGCGGGAGAATTGGTACTATATATACTCTTTTACTCCTAGTATTTGCATTCATTTCGTAATAAATTTCTCGAGCCGATCTACTCCAAATTTGTAGTAATCGACGACGAGAATAATGTAATTATCAAGGAGAACGTTGCGCTGCATTTCAAAATTGGAAATATTTTCTTGGATGGTAGTATTAAATAAATCTTGATTGTGCTTTTATTTCTTCTGTTTTATACACCCTAATAATGATTCTCATTTTTTATGCCTTTACTAAACAGATAAAATCACTTCAGTTTCCTCACAAATCTCTTTTCTTCGTCAAGTCTTTATTTCACACATCAAAAGTCCCCCTACGAACATTTATGGACGCGCTGCACGTGGTGAAATCCCTGTAGCAATCTACACAAACAGCAAAGATGAGATAGCCACGCTTATCCGTTTAAAAAAGCAAGTGTCCCGAGAAGGTGGTAATCCACGTTTAATTATTGTTGGCGGAGCCGAAGCACATTTACTAGCCGAACAATTATCAGAAAACAATATCCCCGTTGTATTATTACCACTTCGCCCAACTCCAATTCTGTGGACTTCGCAAGACGTATTAACTGGGCCACCGTTGACCAATACTACCGGCATTGAGATCCTACATGCAAATAATGTGCTCTTGGGAATTGGTGTGGAAGAACCAGGGCTCGCGAGAAATTTGGTTTGGGATGCCGGGTGGGTGTTGAGAAATTCGGATAAGATTACCGAGAAAGAAACAGTCGGATTTATTACTTGGAATTTGGCTAAAATATTTGACTTGAACTCGCCAATCCAGTCTAATCATAAAGATGATAATATTGAATCTATTTCGATTAACGGATTAACAAAAGGGAATTTAGCTGATTTTGTTGCATATGATGGAAATCCCTTTGATATGAAAACACGAGTTCGAGTTGTTGCGGGTGGTGGTCGTAAAAAAGTACTGATCGATCCTGAACCAAACTAAATGTAGATTACTAATTAGTGAATTCTTTATTATTGTCCGGAAGGACTATATATTATTCTGCAATATGTGAAGAATTGATTGTCACGTCGGATTTCCGGTTGTCACGCCACGTGACTGGTTATAAATAAATAAACAACAATTTTATCGCTTACGGACTCACAATGGTTCATTTTTTCTATATTAATAGTCGATCATTTGCAAAGAGAAGAGCATATTAATTTCGGGGTGCTATAGGGTAGCGCTCTATTTGAATCCACTTGATAATTAAGATGCTTTTGTGTGAACAACAGAGTTGTGCATTGTTATTCTTTATAACCCCCTTCGGATCGAAGTGATGAAATTTCATCGAGGCATTTCGGGGTTCATTCGAGAAATAACCTTCCAGCTTTCACTAATTCAATATCACCAGTACACTTGATTATTTTTAATGTATATATACATGTAATTATTTTATTTATCAAGAAAATTAAAAAGCAATTGTATTCATAATATCCAATATTACTAATTATATGATTTAACGTTAACCAATAAATTCTCAATCGTAATGCGTGATTATATGGAGGCATATCATTAATTTGTTCATAAATAACCTCTTAGAATAAATTAAAATTATGGGAAAATCATCAAAAGATAAACGCGATATTTTTTATCGATTAGCAAAAGAACAAGGATGGCGTGCACGTAGTGCTTTTAAACTTTTAGAGATTGACGATGAATTTCATGTGTTAAAAGGTGGAAAATAACATAACCGATTAATATTACTTAGTTTTACTTTGATTCAATAATTAATAGTTCTATTATGTTCGCGTTTAATAAGAAGTTAAACGTGCGGTTGATTTATGTGCTGCGCCTGGAAGTTGGTCACAGGTTTTAGTAAAGAGACTCAGGTCAGATAAAAGAGAACGATTGAATTTAGGATTTCATTACTTTCCTGATTTTTTTTTGGTCTGTAGTGAAAACTCGAATTATGCCGACATTGATAATGATAGTAGCAAAAAATCATCATCTCCACCAAAAATTGTCGCCGTTGATTTACAAACAATGGCAAGCGGCTTTAAAAGATACTTGAACATTTAGTTTCTCCATTTTTTTGATTGATTTTGACTCTTAATAAACGAAAAAAAAGGCGCCACTAGAAAATGTAATTCAAATAAAAGGCGACATAACCAAACAATCAACAGTAGAACAAATACTTGGATATTTCGAGGGCGAATCTGCGGATATTGTAGTATGTGATGGGGCACCAGATGGTAATCGAAAAAAAAGAAATTCGGTACTATTCCTTTTTTTGCTGTTTCATCTCAAATCCGATTTAATTTGAATTTGTAAAAGTAATCGGACTACATGATTTCGACGAATACATTCAAGCACAACTAGTGCTTGCCGCACTAAACATTACTACACACATCTTACGTCCTGGTGGCACATTAATCGCAAAGATTTTTCGTGGGAAGGACGTAACATTGTTGTATGCTCGGTTATTAAGGTTTTTTGAGCGCGTTACGTGTGCTAAACCGAGAAGTTCTAGAAATTCGAGTATCGGTATGAAGATTTGTGAATATGGGATTGGGATTAAGATGGGGCGAGTCTTTCACTAATAGTGAATTTCTTTAGAAGCATTCGTGGTTTGCCAGAATTATCAACCACCCAAAGATTATATTCCCACAATGACAAAACCTATACTGGATTTATCTTATGGTTTGGCAGAATCACTTATTTATATTTTATAATTAATTCGATTTTTCAATATTAATTTTCTTTTATCATTAAATAAAGATGATGATGAAAATAATAAATTACTTGGGCCTTCTCGTCTCATTGTTCCATTCGTTGCGTGCGGTGATGCAAGGTAATTTTTGTCGAAAGTTCCGATCTTCTTTAGATTTCTTAATTTTATGGGATCTTATGCTATTTGTATATAGTGGATTTGATTCGGATCAAACATATCCGCTTGAGGTATTTTAAACATTAACAATGATTGATTTTAAAAATTTTTAAAATAATAATCGTATTTTTTTGTGTGTGTAGGAAAAGAGCCTCGATCCGCTACAACCACCAATAAGTGCACCATATCGCACTGCGATCGCATTAAAACAACAAAACTTTTATAACAAGATTCCATCCTAGGCACGATTTGAATAAATTATCTTCTAGCTGTAGTGTTTGTTATATGATATTTTTGATACTTTTAAACTGGTGAACAAATCGCTTATGTTGGTCAATAAATAATGTGCAACATAGTTACTCGATTGATCGTGTGACAAGCCAATCAGCTATAAAAGAACGCGTATTTTTTTCAAGAATAATTCCACAGCTTTTAAAGCTTTCTTCAACGGCACCTTTATTCATACGCTTCTTTCAAAAGAACAAGTTACAAATAAAATTGCTCGTGTTCACAAAACAACCAGTCTCTTTAATACTTTACCATTCAAAAAGTTATAACCATGGACCACCTCACACCGGGAACCATAGAATACTTGCGCAACGAAGAAAGTATTACGCGTCCACTTACACTTCAAATCATAAAATTGCAATACGCTGGATTGGTATTGTACAAGCAATTTGGAATTAACGGACCGCCACAAAAAACGGTATTGATTACATTGTCGGATAGCAGTCAAACTATTCAAGCCACCTTCCCATGTATGGTTATTGAGAATGTTACAAAGAATACATGGGAGTCCTTGGAACCGTATACGATTATCAACATTAAAGACTATACGTTTGGTAGTTCCAGTCGCACCAACTCTATGAAACCAATGTTGGTGAAAGAATTTGATGTACTTGAAAATCCTGGCCACCAAATTGGAAATCAGGATATGAATGTAGACTTTGGCTCTTCCACCAACATTCCTCAGCAACCGCATCAAAATAGGCAACAGCCTCATGGACAAATGATGGCACAACCACCACCACAACCACTTTCTCAAAATCACTCTTCATACATGATGCAAAATATTCAAAATGACGACGAAACTCCATTTAAAATGGTCAATAATATGAACACAAATTCCAATAAGATCGTCAAACGTGATCATCCTTCCTTCTTTCCCATCAGTGCACTCAATCCCTATCAAAATAAATGGATTATAAAAGCTCGAGTGATAAAAAAATCTGAGATCAGAACATGGCATAATCAAAAAGGTGACGGAAAGATTTTCAGCTTCAACATCATGGATCATTCGGGCGAGATCAAAGTTGTCTCTTTCACCGACACATGTGAGAAATACTACGATTTAATCCAAGAAAATAACGTGTACACCATAAGCAACGCAAGAGTTCAGACCTCCAGAAATAGATTATACGATTCGAACGAGTACGAAATTCACTTGGAAAAAAATACTAATATTGTTCAATGTCAAGAAGAATCTTCGGTGCCAAATATTCAATATAATTTCACTACATTAGACAAATTAAATGATTATAATAGAGATGATGTGATTGACGTTATTGGTGTTGTTAAGGAAGATTATGGCCTTTCCGAAGTATATTCTAAGAAATCCCAGAAGAGCATTGTAAAACGTGAACTCATATTAGTCGATCAAACTCTTACCTCGGTGAAATTTGCAATGTGGGGAAAACCGGCGCAAGATTTTAATGGAGAGGACAATCCGGTGCTGGCAGCAAAAAAAGCTCGAGTTGGAGATTTCCAAGGCCGCAGTCTTTCACTCTACCAAAACAGTGTTTTTCAAATTAATCCTGACATCCCAGAAGCACAAGCCTTACGCAAATGGTTCTCGTCACTTACCCAAAAAGAAACTTTTCAGACCCTTTCCAACACATCTTCATTCATCCCTTTAACAAGCTTGGAAAGAAAAACGATCGCGCAAATAGTGAGTGATCCTAAGATAGGCAGAGGCGACAAGGCAGATTATTTTTCGGTAAAAGGTACAATCAGTTATGTGGACGAGAAAAAAACTTGGAATTATCCGTCATGCCCAACTTGTAAAAAGAAGGTTATCGATAGCGGTGATAACTTCTGGGCGTGTGATAAATGCCAAGGTGATCCTATTTCAAAACCTCAATACCGGTATATCTTCACCTTTGGTGTGTCAGATGCAACCGGTCAGATGTGGATGGCAACGTTCAACGATACGGCTGTAAAGATTCTTGGCATAGAAGCTGACGAAATGTATGAACTGTCTCTGAACGATGAGAGTGCCTTTGAAGCAGCATTCAAGTCGATGCAATTTAAACAGTTTATATTTTCGTTTCGTGCTAAAAGTGAGTATTATCAAGATATGGAACGGATGAAGTATACCCTCGCTGATGTCCAACCGCTTGATTTTGTCGCTGAGGGAAATATGTTGTTAGAGCAAATAGAACAATATGAATTCTAGGTGTCCTGTTATTATCTTAATTTCTACTTTTCATATTTTGTATGTAGCCAATTAATAATTCTGTATTTTATTTCTTTAATAATAAATACATACAAATAAATCTGTGTTTCTTTAATCCATATTTCTTAGACTCTTGGATGTTCGCATATACAGTAAGGCTTTTTCACGACCTTTGTATCTTCTGAAACATTCTATCATATGATGTATGAACTCACCATGATATAAAGCGTAAATGCTACGAAATGAAAAGAAATGATGAATACACGTCATGACATGATTTTACGTATCATGTAAAACTCACCATGCAAACATTACGCTTTCAAAAAATTTATGAATATCTAGTTAGTATCATACGTGATAATACACTTCTAAATTTCCTGATCATGAGATCGTTACTGACGTCGGGTCTGGTCTCATTTGGAAACGACGAGGATTCGTGTCCATTCTGGAACGAGTGTACTCAGGAAATCTCGGGGAAGTTGTGGTTACCCGCAAGGACCGATTGTGCCGATTCGCACATGAGCTCGTCGAGTGAATTTTTCAGAAACACGATGTCAAACTCGTGGTTCTCGGTACGGATGTTGAATCAACAGATCCCACAGACGAACTTGCAGAGGATCTATCTATCGTCACGGTGTTCACAGCCAGACACAATGGTCTTAGGGCTGCCGGAAACAAAAAAAGAAGACAAGCGATTGAAGCCGTGCAAGATCACATATATCCCAACGATCAAGAAAAAGAAACGTTGAAGAGGTGGATGGGAACGTACCGATGGACATACAATTGATGTCTCGATCTGATAAGAGAAGGAGAACGCAGAACCAAAAAATATTTGAGAAAACGAGTGATTAATAACGATAACTATCAACTTGAGAATGCTTGGGTGAAGAAAACCCCTTCTGGTGTACGCGATCGTGCGCTGTCCGAATTGTTAAAAGCATACGATACAAATCTTAAATCGAATAAGAAATTCACGATCAAGAAAAAATCAAAAAAGTATAAACCGCAAACAATTACCATTGAAAAAAGGGATTGCATACGAAAAAAAGGTGAATATGCGTGTGCGTACCGTTGGAAGAAAATTATCGAGAAGATAATGATTTCATCTCGATCGATCCTGGCGTGCGCACATTCATGACGGGATATGATCCCAATGGAAAGATTATTGAATGGGGGTAAAGGAGACATTGCGCGCGTTTTCAGGCTATGCAAGAGATATGATAAATATCAAAGTGAGGTATCCAAAAGCAAGGGTGGATCTAATAAACGTAAAAGGTACACGCTAAAGAGAAAGATGCTAAAGATACATGATAAGATCAAAAACATCGTGAAAGATTGCCATCACAAGATCGCAAAGGAATTATGTGAGAATTACAATACCATTCTTCTTCCAAGATTTGAAACCAAACATGGTGAGAAAAAAGAAGAAAGACTCGAGAACCAAGGGTCTGATGATATCAGAAATTTTAAGAAGAAATTCAATCGAAAGATCAAGAGCAAGACCGCGAGGATGATGTTGACATGGTCGCATTACAAGTTCCAACATCATCTCGCGCACAAGATCGGAGAGTACCCCGGTCGATTGTTGATACTCTGTGATGAGCATTACACATCCAAGATGTGCGGGAATTGCGGGAACATAAAGGACAATCTCGGTGGTGCAAAGGTTTACAAGTGCGCTCGATGCGATTTTGAGATTGACAGGGATCACAACGCAGCCCGCAACATCCTTCTGAAACATCTGAGCCAAGGTGACTTGGCGCTGGGGCCTACCCCGCTTGAATGATTAGCATGCTAACGTTCGTTCTATAACCGTGACGTTGATAAAAAATAATTTTTATCATGGATGATCGGTTTTTCTGTAGGAGACAATATAGTTGCAAATTTTAAAATATCGTTATATCCGACAGAAATTTTCTAAGCTCTCGTAAAATGGCAAAATTTTAATATAAATTAGCGTTACAATCCAACATGGCATCTTATCTCATTATGCTTTTTTGACATAATTAAAAATCCATCAACATTCGTAATTAAAGACATGTTTGTTTCGACTTTATACATTTGACACAAGATTTTTTGATACACCAGATGCAGCAAATTCTTCGGCAACGATGAGCATAATGATTTGTCTCGCTTTCAAGTAACTTGAATCGTACAGCAATCGGATTCAATAATTAGAAAATATATTAGATTATCTTCATTATGTATGAGTTTGAATAAACGAGTTCTTTCTGATTAAGAGAGCTCAAAATATTTTTTCGTAAGTTTTTCAAGACAAAATAACTATAGTAAATGACAGAAAACCAATTCCATTACAAAAAAACTAACAAAACTCCTGATCAAATTATAAAACGGTTTAATGAAATATTTGTTATATTCAAAAAGATTAGGATGGTAAGGATGATAAGGATGAACAATCCTTAGATGATACTATTATATATCTTTTATAAAAAAAATTTTACTAATAATAAACTTTTTGAATTATTATTTCTCAAAATTTTACTAAAAATTATATAGTAAATAATTTAATTACTAAACTTTGAATCTTAATATCTTTATAACTACTGATTCAATTTTTATGAAATTTAAAATATATATTTATCAAACCTGCTTGTGTAATTTGAAGTTTTAATATCGCAAATTGATAGTGATAATATTTAAAATATCTTTTTTTTTAAAAAAAAGAATTTTATTTTAGTTTTTTTAGTAAAGTAATACTTCATTTATTATTAAATTAAAGTATAATAGAATAATTAAAAAGTAAATTTGGATCATTTTTTATTTAATATAAAAAATTATAAAGATTAGTTAAAATTTGAATGATTTTTATTAGATATTAATCTTTTTGCAATGGCCCATACCAAAATATGGGATATATGGATTTCTGTACAAGTAAATAATGATCAACTAAAATATTAAAAAACAGAATGATCGAAATAATATTTTTAAGTAATAAAATTAACCAAAAATTTTTTAATAAAACTCAAATTATAAGAATAAAAGAGTGAAAAAATTCATTTACAAAAAAAAATAGAGAAATATACACAAAAACACTTTCCGCAATTAAACCTTAATACCAAAACCATACATAATAATAATGCCTAATTAATAATAATTGCTATCAAAAATAATTTCCAAATAAAAAATATACATCGTGATCAACTCTTCGGATGAAGCTCAATCACACAAAACACCAACAAATAAATTACCACAAAAAAGTAGTGTAACGAATCATTAAAAAATGTTCGTGGGTTATTCGAAACATGTTGACGATAATTATGATGACTTGATCTTTGGTGCCGCGTCGTTATAGATCTATTTGAACTTTGGTGAGAGTTTTTTGGTATTATTTGTTGTTGTTGTTGTTGTTTTGGTTTTGGATTATTAGCAATAGATTTTTTTGTTTTGTCTTTTGTTATTGGCGTTGTAGTTGTGATAGGTGTCGTTATCGTGGTTGGAGAAAGAGGCGGTGAAATTAATTTCTGATCATAAGGATCATCTTCATCTCGAGCTGGTATTTTCACTCGTGGAGTTGGTTTTGGTAACGGTGCAAATCTTACATTTCGTGTTGGTTTCTTTTTCGGTTTTGATTCGATTTTTCGAATTACTGGTAACTCGTCATTACAGAATACCATCATCTAGTCAATAGGTGATAAATGATTTAGTGGAGAAGGGAGAATCTTTTTAGTATTTGATTACTTTTATTTATTTATTCATTCATTCATTTAATCTAATTGTGCCGATTATATTCCGTTTTTTGTGTCTCTAATAGTTGCAAGAGGTTGCAGCAGTGTTTTCTCATGTCCAGCATGCCTGCTGCTTGTCTGTCTATGTATTGAAATCTACCAGATCTGTGTGTATATGATTTTGATATTGATTGGACAAATGTGATGTGTATGTGTGTATACGATGATGACGACGACAGAATTTTGCAGGGTTAACAACAAATCTATTATTCTCGATCATTCGTTTTTATTGATTGAAAACCACCACTTTCTCAAAGATTGTTAGTGAAACCCAAAAAAAGAAAATCAACCTACATTCTGTTCTTGAGCTCGTTTAATGGCCACTTTCATTTTACTGTTGTGCCAATCAAACAGTAACGCCGCGTCGTTCCCTTCTCTGTCTCCGGCATAGAGCGATACTATTCATTTATTTTTAATTCACAAAAAATCTAAGTAAATAACCAATAAACTAAAGAAAAAAAAGCAATAATTAATAGAGAACCAGAGATCCTCACCCATCCCAATTAATTGAATATGGCCGCCTCTCAACAAGAAAATAGGGCCGCCGCTTGACCCGGCCCACAAACTCGAAGAAATACGAAAATTCGAGGAATTTGAGTCGTCATCTTTGGCTGGTAGTCCGACTATGTATCCGGATGCAACGGTTTTTGCATTCGGATGAAGGATTGGAACGATGTCTTCTGGCTATTATCATTTTATGCGGTGTAAAAGTAAGGTTAGTTGATGAGAGATATCAAATAAAATGAATAAAAAAAGCAATTCATTACAATTTTCGGCCGATCATCTTCATCGAGACTGGCATATCGTTGATCGTTACGTTCTTCCAATAGATTTCTATCCGGTGTTCCGTTGAATGAGATTGCAACAACTGTGTCCTATAATTTGCAGAAAATTAATGCCAATGTAGATAAAAAGGCAAAGATGGTTCATAAAATAGTTAATATCAAAGACACTAACCCCATAATGAAGTGATTTCAACATATCTTGCAACGATTGATCAGGTAACTCGCAATAACTCGGTGCACGGAAATTTTTATCTAGCACTAGAAAAAGACCAAAATCTGCAGCATCACTAGCCCAAAGACATTTTACCGGTGTGGCACTTTGTGGACATGTTTCTATGAACAAAATGTTGAGACATCAATTAGATTCAGATGTAAACATACGAAAAACTTTAAACGTAATGATTCTATGATTACCTCCCCACGAAGCTAATGACACATAGCCAGCCACTGACATATTTTCAAGTTTCGCGGCCTTTAATGTTCCAAGACGAAGTCTTGACACGAAAAGACGTGGACCCACAAAAAATCCGGTTTCAAATAAATCCGGATCAGATACACTCCATAGACGTGCTACTGATTCAGCTACTTCTTCAAGCCGAGTTTTAACCTGTATAATGTAATATATAATTGTAGATGTTACACAAAATTATTTAATTCGTAAATTTTGAAAATTTCAATGATCTGAACACACTGAACACACGTACATTAGGCACAAGCATATCTTTAGCATGTTGCGCTAAAGACCAAAACCTCGGCGCCTGTATCCCTTCCTGTGGATCAATGTACATATTCGCGTTCCAGCTCGCTGCCATTTTATCGTATTGTAAACTCCCCAAACCGTCACCGGCGCTCTTACTGATTGTCTCATCGCTACCCCAGGTAGTCCTATTTGTCGTCGTTGTCGTCGAGACAAACGGGTGAAACAGAACCGAGTTCCGTTTCGTGTCAATGTTTCCAAACATTGAAAATACAAGCTTCTGGATATCTTGAGTAGCCAGCTTGACGGATTTTTCCTTTGGTGGTAGAATTTTGAAGGTTTTTTGGAACGGTCAGAAAATAGGATTATGGTGAGTACTTTTTTTTTTATTTATTTGTTTGTTTGTTTGTTCGCTCGCTCGCGTATTCTTAATGATTATTTCTATTCTGGAATTTTTGTGATATTGGGTTGAAGTTTTTCTCGGAGTTGACACGAAAACCAAACTTTCAGAGGATAATTTTTAAAGTGAGTGTGCAGAAGGCAATTGTTAAAAAGTAAAATTTCCCTTGAAATCTGTAATCGCCGCAGCAAGAAGAAAATAAACCAACAAACAAAACATCAAACAAACAAACAAAAAGGATAGATTGATAATGATAGAAGATAGGGTGAAAAGTGCATGCAAATCGTCGTAATTATATATAAATTTTTTCAGTCGGTTTGTCCACTCTAGTATATATCGATATAAAGAATAAAGAAAGAACTGATTAACCGAGTGCAGTATTTTTTTTTAACACCCGTTTTACTTTAGAATTTGGGCGTGCACAACATACATACAGATAAGTAAGGATAGAGAAAGAATGGCGAAAAAGGTGAAGGTTATTAATACGTGAATGGACACGGGGAGTCGATGAATTAATTTATCATGATATTAAAATTAGTGAATGTATTTTACTGACTGCAAAGAACAAACAAGCAAGCAAGCAGAAGCAAGCATAAGTGGTAGAAATGGCTTCATCACACCGCTTCATTTTCAGTTATAAACATCGTAGATAAAAAACATTAAAATATGACTCTTACGTGATACACTTTGTTGTTATCGTCAAAACTCGTATAATAAGCAATAATAGTTATAAATAATAAAAATAAGAATAATGACGACGACGATAATGATAGAAAGGTTTGTCTTCACGCTTGTAATACTTGTTCAATTTTTTTTTTCCGGGTAACAATGAGCGAATATTTTAATATCGATGATGGATCATCCTCCCTTATGTTTGCATACATATACGTTTTACTTGTTCTTTTTTCAAAACTTGCATAGCTACTACATGCACACATACATTTATATTATAATAACAATAATAATGGCTAATAATATCTCCTTTCTACAATAAAATGATGACAGACTCTTGAAATATTCAGTAATACACATGATGATAGGTATCAGGATTTCAAAAAATCATTTCAAACGTACCAAAGAAACATGCATATATTATGTACATCACCATAATAAGCAATAATAATAGGGAAAATAATACTAATACACCACTCATCCCACGCTATTTTTATTAAAGTATATAAAAGAGAGACAATATCGATATACATGCACAATGGAGTGAGACATATCAGGGGCTACTTCTAATAATAAATTATAATACGACACGCATACAGAGATTTTTATTGCGAATTCATTCAAATCAATCATTATTATCGTTATGATACATAGAAGCTTAAATTTTTCCCAAGAATATTCCTGGACAATTTCCCCCGGTGTCTTAAAATTATCAGTTAAAGCGATTTTCTGTACTCCCTGTTGTTTTTACGATTAGAATAATAAATGATATCTATCAGTTAAAACATGGTATTGCTTATTCATTGTTTTATTACTTTTTTAATTAAACAAGGGTGTGCGCTTATTCCAGAAATTTGTAATGGAATTAATTCAAATGTTCTTGAGAGAAATTTTTATTTGGACTTTACTGATACCACGTGAGTATTTACTTTCTTGATTTACATTAACGTTAACCAATAAAATGCGGTAAGATCTTAACCAATCGTAGTGTTATCTGTAGAATGAAGGCAAAACACCTCAAAAAGTTTTTTAATTATCACCAAAAAAGCAATAATGCCATATTATCGATTAAAGGGTAAATTTTATACTTTCTCATTCTCCGATCACTTGCTTCACGTTAAACTCAATTTCCTAAGGTTTTAAAATCTATCACTATTAACAAAGATCTGATAAAGGCCATACGTGCTTGCAAAACAGCGGCTGACGAACGAGCCGTTATACAAAAAGAATCAGCTGCCATTCGTACCAGTTTCAAGGAAGAAAATAACGATGCGCGACATGCCAACGTAGCAAAACTTCTTTACATACATATGTTGGGGTATCCGGCGCATTTTGGGCAAATTGAGTGTTTGAAACTGGTTGCATCGAATCGATTTGCCGATAAACGACTGGGATATTTGGGAATTATGCTTCTTTTAGATGAAAATCAAGAGGTTTTGACGTTGGTGACTAATTCGTTAAAAAAGTAGATCGTTTTCTTATCTTGTTAGAAGTTTTTGTGCGATTTGATTGAAATAAAGCTAATTGTTCTTTGATTTCTAGCGATATGAATCATTCAAATATGTATATCGTGGGATTGGCACTGTGTACTTTGGGTAACATTTCATCTCCTGAAATGGCACGTGATTTATGCGCAGAGGTGGAAAAGTTACTTGGCAGCACGAACACATACATCCGTAAAAAGGTGAGAATCAAGAGTCTTTTTGAACGCGTGTTTAATTTTATTTTGCCCGAGTAAAAAATGACGTGTTTTAGGCAGCTTTATGTGCTATGCGCATCATCAGAAAAGTTCCTGAACTTCAAGAGAATTTCTTGAGTCGTGCAAAGTCTCTATTGAATGATAGAAATCACGGTGTCCTGCTCACGGGTACGACTTTTATTACGGAATTATGTCATCAGAGTCCTGAGGCTTTACAGACCTTCCGTAAAGTAAGATTAGATTTTTTTTTGAATGCGCCATCCCAATTTCTGCTTTTGTTATTAATGGTGTTGTCGTTGTGCGATGTTGATAGGCTGTTCCTTTACTAGTTCGACACTTGAAGTCTTTAGTGACTTCAGGATATTCACCGGAACATGATGTGACCGGTGTGACAGATCCCTTTCTTCAAGTCAAGATATTAAGACTTTTACGAATTTTAGGGAAGGGAGATTCAGAAGCCAGTGAAGCAATGAATGATATTCTTGCTCAGGTCAGCTAAGAATGGCTTGTTTTACTCCAAATTCTCTCTGAGTACGCTACATATTTTTTATTATGAAATAATATGATTCTTTCTTTACTCAAAGGTTGCAACAAGCACCGAATCATCCAAAAATGTGGGGAACTCTATCTTGTATGAAACAGTACAAACCGTCATGGAGATACAGTCAGAAACCGGGTTACGTGTATTAGCAATCAACATTCTCGGCAAATTTCTCACAAATCGAGATAACAACATCAGGTATAATCTAGGATTCCACATTCACTTCAATCTCCTTTATTTATGATGATTTTTTGTATTTATGATACTAGTTGCTAAATTAAAAACATATATTTATTTGAAATAATAGATATGTTGCACTCACAACCTTGAATAAGACAGTGTCCGTTAACGCTACTCCGGTACAACGACACCGTAATATTATCCTAGACTGTTTGCGAGACGGCGATATTTCAATTAGAAGACGGGCACTAGAACTCGCGTTCGCATTAATTAATGAGTCAAATGTTCGTGTGATGACTAGAGAATTGTTGGCATTTTTGGAGGTGGCTGATAATGAATTCAAGCAAGGAATGACTACGAAAATATGTTTGGCTGCTGACCGGTAAGTTGATCATTGGAGAATGATTAGACCGACAAGTTATTATTTTTTAATCATTTATTAATTCTCATTTATTAGATTTGCACCTAATAAGCGATGGCACATCGACACAGTGTTACGTGTGTTGAAATTGGTATGTTTGAAACACCATTCAAAATCTTTTTTCTTTTCGCGAAATATACTTGTAATTGTTGACATCAAAGTCCTATCACACATTGTTTGAAGGCTGGAAATTATGTACGCGAAGAAATATTATCAAATTTCATTCGATTAGTAGTGCTGACTACCGAGTTAAATGCATACACAGTGCAAAAGCTATATTCTGCTTTAAAGGCTGATATTTCTCAGGTAATAATAGTTCAATTGATTGTTTCTTTTACGGTGTTTTTTTTTATTAATTATTGTATTTTTTTTTAACATGCAGGAATCACTTACTCTGGCGGGGATATGGGTAATAGGCGAATATGGTGATGTTTTGTTGAAAGGCGGTAGTTTCGAGGAAGAAGAAATTGTGAGAGAGGTATCTTATTATTATTATTAGCATGTAGATTTTTCAGAAATGAAAATATATTTATAACGTTAATTAAAATTCAAACAAAACAAGGTAACCGAATCTGAGGTCGTTGATCTAATGGAATCGATCTTGGCCGGACCCTACGCAAATCAAGTGACGCGCGAATTCGTGCTCACCGCTCTTATGAAATTAACAGGACGGTTCACGAATTCAGTAGTAATACAGCGTATACAGGCCATCCTCGAGAAATTCAGCACGAGCATCGAAGTTGAGATACAGCAACGCGCAGTCGAGTATAGTAATCTGTTCAAGTTTGAGTCTATTCGACCGGCTATTCTCGAGAGGATGCCGGCACCGGAAATTAAAGACGAGACGAATACGAATCGTCCAAGTACGAGTTATTTGTTTATAGATCACAAGTTTAAGATCAAATCATTTGTTAAGTAATGATAGTAATTATCCGTTTTATTTAATTAATGGAACAATAGCCGACGATGTTGCTGCTACCGGGAGTGTTAGAACTAACGACGCTGGAGTAAGTAAATGTTATCATATTGATTGATATAAAATTCTTCTTATATTTGCGATTTCTTTTATAGAGCCTTTTGGATCTGGTTGGTGATGGTCCATCAAATTCAGGAAAGGCTGTCGAAGCTAAAAAAACTGTCGATATATTAGAGGATATTTTTGGCAATGTTGCTCCTACTACTACACAAGCAAATACTGCGTCTACCATATCTTCTAAAAAAGATGATATAATGAGCTTATTTGATATACCAAACAGCAAAACTACTGCTGCCGCGGGTAATAAAGCTACAACAGTCCTAGGCGCCGAGCCAGTTAATCCCACGAATAGTCTTGGGCTTTTGGACTTAGGACTAAGTAGCACCACTACCACCACAACCGCGCCAATACCGCCACAATCAAATTTGTTTCCTCAACCTCTTCCTGCACAAAGACCGGCAACATCCGGTAGCACCACTACCACAGCCACGCCAATACCGACACAATCAAATTTGTCGCCTCAATCTCTTCCTGCACAAAGACCGGCAACATCCGGTCTTGATTTCGCTTTACAAACGCCTGCTGCACAAAGTAAATTTTTTGTTGCGCCATTCTATTATAATTTTATGCGGCTATTAACGCGTGGTATCGTATCTTAAATTATAGGTTACACTGCTTATGATAAAGACGGCTTTAAGATTACGCTTGATCCCTCAAGAGACGCGAATAGCCCTAACGTTCTTAATATTATGGTGACCTTCCATAATGTCGCGGTTGGTAGCCAAGTACAAAACTTATTGTTCCAAGCTGCGGTTCACAAGGTATTGTTTATTGATTATTGATTATGTAAGTTTATTTGCCTTTTTAATAAAAATAATTTATTTGTAGAGTCAAAAATTACAAATGCAAACTCCTTCATCAACAAATATTGCACCTGGTTCAACTGCCACGCAGCTTATTCGAGTTGCTAATCCTCAAAGGGCAAGTAAAGCTTGTATATACATTAATCCTTAAATTCTGAAATATATAATTGTATTAATTCAACCACGCTATATTCTAGACAAATGTTCGATTAAGACTTCGAATAGTCTATGAAACGTCAGCTGACACAAAAATAGATGAGATTACCGAGTTTAATGGATTTCCAGAGGAGGTTTGGTAAAAAAAACCATCTCTCTTACATAGATATATTTATTATATAGACTTTATTATTTCTATCTATATATTATTTATTATTAATTTGTATTTTGCAAAAAAAGACTTTAATCTTTGTTTTTATTATGATGATTATTGAGACAACATCGAAAGGATATTGGCGGAGGATAACTATAAAATCTACTGTATTTAGTGAGAATTGAAAATATCAATCAGATGTTTATTATGAAAAAACGAGGACAATAAATTATAATTATTACAATAATACTACTCACCAAATCAATAAAATAAATAAAAATCATTTTCTGGCAATCGATTTTCTTTGTAATATTGTTGCCATCCTTCTGTTATTATTGATTTGATTTAATAAAAAATTGTTATGATATCTCAACTATTGCTAATGCTATTAAGAGATATAATCTTCTTCAAAAGTCAGTATGTTTTGATTATTCTTATTGGCATCAAGTGTTGCTGATTTGCTTACAACTGGATTCGACATTCTTTTATTATGTTTTTTATTAATTCCTTGTGAATCAACTTTTTTATGCGATTGAAAGCTCGTAGTTGAAATCCCAGAATCTTTGCGAGAAGGTCTAGATGTATGGTTAACACCTTCAGCTAATATTCCTTCGCCCCCTCCATGACTAAGCGAGGATCTATGCGAAGATGAAGAATGTTTTGTCATGTTTTTTGGTGGCTTTGCAACAGAAGATACTGAATATCTTCGATGTGGTACATTTGATGATGTATTGTGTCTTTGATGATGATGCAGCTGCTGTTGTTCATTATTATTATTGTTAATATTGTTATGTTTCTGCGAATTCATTCTTTCTATTCTATGCATAGGAAAAATATGATGTTCTTGCTCAAATTGTTGTTGTCTTGTAAGCTTGGGAAGACCTGCAATCTCCCGAAAAAAATTATTGTCACGTAAAATCAAGTTCCATAATATTAGATATGCTATAAGAGAAAAGAGAGTTTATTTATAGTTAGTTTTGAGCGATTATCGAAATAAAGCTAATTAGTGGTATCTCACGCGTTTAGAATTTGTACTTACCAAACGCAATGACAATGGCCAGTGTCAAAAGCGATAAACTCAATAGTGCTATAAAATTCAAGGAGTCAAAAATGAGATCAGGCATCTTTTTTGGAGAGTGTATTAACGAGAATAATAAGGAGAAATGGACAAAAAGTCCAGTCATTTTATACACACGCGCGCAGCACTAGAATTTATTGGTCATATGATAATTATGATCATTTGATTGCTACGCCGGCATTTATGTCATTTATGTGATAAAATTACTGCGTCTAAAATTCATTCTTTTAGCATCGCAGGTATTGTTGGTAGGGACTCTGAAAATTTCATGGTCCGGGCAATTTCAAACTATGTGATATGATCATAGGGCTACCCTAAAATAATTTGAATGAGAATTTTCTAAAAATGTTTCATACTAATTAGAGTTAATTATGTCGATATTAAAATTCAAAACTCAAATCGAGCTTTGAGCCAGACTTAAATTATGAGTTTGAGTTCAAAATTCACCTACAGTGGCTTACTTGTGAAAACATACGAAAAATCCTATATAACGTCTCCCAGTATCGATTAAATATACCTGGTTCCCATACTCATTTTAAAGTTAATAACCTAGGGAATATCTTTTTAATTAGTGAAATTTTAACTCCAAATATCTGTTTTCAAGAATTGACTCAATTAAAATGTTCTCGGCCTATATACCGAGTTTCAACAAATAAATAACTGAATTTTTTACTAACATAAATAATAATAATTCAACGAATTGGTACAAAATTTTGTTGAAACTCGGTATATAGACCGAGAACATTTTTAATTGAGTCAATTCTCTTGAAAACAGATATTTGGAGTTAAAATTTCACTAATTAAAAAGATGTTCCCTAGGTTATTAACTTTAAAATGAATAGACGTTATATTTTCGTAACTGTATTGAATATGGATCAATTGTTTTGGATCACTTTACCAATCCCGATCTTTGAGATCTACTAATAATAGATCAATGAGTGTCGATCCTCTGTCTGACATGAAATTTTTATCCTGGTTTTTTGTTCCATTTTTAGTATAGATTTTTGATTGTGCGATTTTCTTTTACTTTGTGTGCAAATACGATATCGATATATGTATTTACATTTATTTCAAGTTTTGAACCTTATTTATTGTTATAAGCGACAAAGAGAAAAATTATTGCATTACTTCTTGCCTTTTATAATTAATTATCCATAGCGTGCGAGTGTGTAACCGGTTTAGAATAAAGTTGAGAGCATAGAGTGATTGAGCAAAGAACACATTTTACTGTAACATACCAAAAAAAAAGTGTATTGAAAAAAAAAATAATTAACAAAAATGAGGCTACGCAAGCCTGCTCTACAAATTTTTCAGAGGCGCACCAAAACTTACGTTTGGGCGCTTCTCATATGTATTTTTATTCTCTTGGTGAAAATTTCGTCTGCAAAGACTGGAGATACTGTCAAAGGTTCAAAAGAGTTAATTACTACACACAATCACATTAAAAGGTTTTTGAAAGCAGCAGCAGCGTTCACAAAATCGAAGCAACAAATAAGGGAACTCCGGTCGACGAATCTAGTCTTGATTACTACTTTGGATGGAGACTTGCACGGGGTTGATCGCTACAACGGACAAATTCTGTGGAGTTTAGAAGGTGTATCTGGTGGTCCATTGATACGAACTTCTGTGAGGAGTAATGCAGATATTCAGAATAATATGACCGATAACAACGAAGACAATAGCAGTGATGTCGACCATATCAATGATGATGACATTATCAATGATGATAATGTTGATAATAATATCCCAGTAACCGAAAGAGATGAAAATCAGACGACTAATCATCAAAGCCTTGATACTGAATATTCGCCAGATACTCAAGTGAGCAAATTACAGGAAGAAGAAGATCTTAGTCAAGTAACTTATATTGTTGAGCCTACAAATGATGGGATCTTGTATATGTTCTCGCCGAAATTGGGATTACAGGTATCTACAGATAGATCATATACAATCTTACCTTGGTATCTACAATACTTCATCTTTTTGTTTTTTTTTTTCGCGGATGATGTAAGACACGACATTTCATTCAAAATATGTTTGAGCATGCTTCATTACAAAAAAAAAGCAATTATTCGATAAATCCAATCATTCTCTATTATATTGAATTCTATCCAATTAAATAATTAGTTTAATTAACACCCACCGAAATTCTTTTCATTAATTTTCGTAGTAATTAACGATTTATATAACTAGTCTGCTTTACACGTGCTATCTCTATTATTTATTTTTTTTTACTACTTTCATAAAAATGATTGAACTAGAAATTTCCGTTCTCCATTAAACAACTCGTAAATCTTTCCCCATTTCGCTCAGTCGATGGAAAAGTATTTGTCGGCAGCAAGTCCACAAAATTTTTTGCTGTTGATCCGCGGTCAGGCAAACTGCTTCAGTCATTCGATAGTGAAGGTGATGATGAGTGTCCGTCAGTGGGCACGTTGCCAAAAGATGCTTTATATATGGGGAAAAATGGTAAGCTTTCTATTCTCATAATTAGTGTATGTATGGTGATCATCAGAGAAGAATGTTTGTCTTTGAAAAATATATACATAACATAGTCACTAATTTAGTTTTTGATTCGACATGTAATTGAAAGCGTACAAAATATCGATATTTGACGGTAAAAATAAAAAACCAATTTGGAATGTTACTTATAACGAGTATGTCCCTAATAGTTTGGACGTTGATGTTGAGATAAACTACAAAACGTCACCTGACGGTTTGTACATTGCATCAACTCATACGGGTGAAATTTTATCGACAGATTCGGAGAATGGTAAATAATAACATAATTCATTGAAAAGGCTAATATAAACAATATCAATAATTCTCACACAGCAATTTCTTTTTATATCATATGATTAAAGGTCAACATGTTTGGTATCAAAAATTCGATTCACCGGCCATCAGTGTTTTCGATGTGCTCGCTACTTCAGATTTGTCCAACGATCTTCATATTGCTAGACAACCTCATCCTCCGAATAAGTATTACGAACAAATTAATAGATTATCCTCGTCGCCCGCAACTTCTGCATATGTTGACCGTATTGATGATAGCGATAGCCTGTTTATAATGTCCGCTGAAAACTATCCGATGACTCGATTCATGCGTATGTCAAAATGGGCAGAATTTTCCTCGCCAGCCACTAAATACGATCATTATCGATTGACTGATGATGTTTCTAGTGGTAGCGGCAGGAACGAGAAACTAGATATGACAGAAAAAGACGAAAAAGAGTATTGTCATCCCAATTCGAAAACTTTTCCAGATTGCTTGATTGGAAATCATATTTTGAACCCGACTGATAGACGACTACTTGATCCGAATCCAAGCATCCAGAGACATGTGAATCCAATAACGTTCCGATATACTGATATTCCGAAACCACGTACATTGCTCCAAGCAAGTTTATCTTGGATGTTTATTAGCTTGTTTGTAGGTTCTTTGTTGTATTGGAATAGAAGGCAAAGAAACGGTGGTAGTGTTTCTTTTATTGAACGTATAATCACAAAGGTTACCAGTAAATTCACGAAAAAAAAACAGAATAAATATGGCATCTTGGACTCTACGGGTGTTGAAAATGGAATTTCGAGTAAATCGAAAAAAAACAAAAAGAAAGATCGATCAAAGGGACCAACTACTAATATTAATACAAAAAAACAAGATATTAAAGACGAGGATCAAGAAAAGGCTATATCCTCAAATATTATGTCAAAAGAAGTAATACCGAGTACGGACAATGCTTCAAGAACTGTCACTTTTGATCCAAATGCGAATATGGGTCCAATTGTGAATCCTGATCAGGCTATCAATATATTAACACCAGCAATTGTTACTGATACTACTAATGCTATCCCAATAATAACAACTTCATCAACAATAACACCAAAATCAAAAACATCATCTAGAAATAATAATAGTAATAACAATAATAATTCAATGGCACTTACTACCCCGAATGGTGAACTTAAAATTAATTCGCTGGTAATCACTGAAACAGTATTAGGTAATAATAAATATTTAAGATTTTAATAATTCGCAAAAATTTATTATATACTAATAATTCCTATTTTATAGGGTATGGAAGTCATGGGACTATTGTATATAAAGGAACTTTTGAAGGTCGCGATGTCGCGGTAAAACGATTACTTCTTGATTTCTTTGATATTGCCCATCATGAAGTATCACTTCTCCAAGAGAGTGACGATCATCCGAACGTGATTCGCTATTATTGTAAAGAACAATGCGACCGTTTTCTATATATTGCTCTCGAGTTATGCCCCGCTTCGTTATATGATGTAATCGAAAAAGGATCAAGTTTCCGATACACGGAACTATTGGAAACACTCAACCCGTCGAAAATTTTATATCAAATTATTTCCGGATTACATCATTTACATTCAATGAAAATTGTGCATCGTGATATAAAGCCACAGAACATTTTAATAGCCTCGTCAAAATATAAGCGAATAATTAAAAAAGACGGTGGTAATAATAATAGTAGTAATATACAACAGCCATGTGTTGCCAGAGTTCTAATTTCAGATTTTGGGTTGTGTAAAAAATTAGAAGGTGACACAAGTAGTTTTCATAATACGACAAACAATGCAGGTGGGACGATTGGTTGGCGAGCACCAGAATTATTATCACCTTTGTTATCATCCACTGAAGGTGAAGCACCTACTAACGATCCATGGGTGTCAGTGGATCGATTAAACGATAATTCTTTTACATCGTCTTCTGGCTCAGATCATGGTGTTAATAATGGTCAACCACGACGTGTAACAAAGGCGATAGACATTTTCTCTGCGGGTTGTTTATTCTATTATGTGTTATCGAATGGCGAGCATCCGTTTGGTGATCGGTATTCGAGGGAGGTCAATATATTGAAAGGAGTTTATGAATTAAATAAATTGGATAATATGGGTGAAGAAGGTGTCGAAGCTCGTGATCTAATTGAGCGGATGATTGAACGAGACCCTAAAAAGAGGTAAATTCTAAATGATATACTTCTCCTGATATGAAACATCATTCCTATTATTAAATTATCCAATTACTTGCCTTAAAAATGAAAGACCAAGAGCCTCGACAGTGATGATACATCCATACTTTTGGTCACCAGCAAAACGACTATCATTCCTTCAAGATGCGTCAGATCGCTTCGAGGTAGAAGAACGTGATCCACCCTCACCATTACTTCAACGTCTTGAAACCGAAGTAGTCAATGTCATTGGCCCAGATTGGTATCGACGAATTGACCGAGTACTCGTCGATAACCTTGGAAAATATCGTAAATACGATGGTTCACGAATTCGAGATTTATTAAGAGCACTGAGAAATAAGGTTTGTTTTTTGTGCTCTGTAATAAGGCTTGCATGAAATATTAATATTTTATTTTATATAGAAACATCATTATCAAGATCTGCCGGAACATGTAAAGAAATCGCTGGGCGAAGTTCCTGAAGGCTTTCTTTTCTATTTCACTTCACGATTTCCAAAATTGCTACTTCACGTTTATTACGTAATTGCGGAGAACGAGTCGTTGAGAAATGAAAGCATGTTTAGGCATTATTTTGAAATACCGGGTGAAATGTAGCTTCATTTATCCAATCAAAAACTTATCACATTATTTCCAAAAACTGGCCAAAGATCAGTAGTTTTCTTTGGCCTATATTTCTTCCTAACTTCCTTTACGTCCCAGAAATACACCTCACCTACCCTTTCAAAAACACTATTTTCCGATATTTAACGTAATTTTTTTTAATTGTTTAATTAATTCATTATGTATGGCCTGTTTTGACTGCTGATCTTTGTTTCTGGTCTTTTTCGCTTTTTTGTAAAAATTTTTGTATGATAAATTTTTCCTCAAAATAAAAATAGAGTTATAATTATAAAATTTCGCAGCTTTTAACATATCTAAATAGTTGAATATCCATATATTCTTTGCATCGATATAGAAACAATGAAGATTACGAAATTTAGTTTATTAATAAACTGTCATTCTAATATTTTTAAGGCTATCAAGGCTTCTTTGACATAGTTTGTGGTTAAGCCTTAGTTATTATTAATAGAAGGTTGAAGGACGTTTTGCAAGGAATGTGGATTTCTTGTTGCCACGGACAACACGATGCGGAAGCGGAAATCGGAGACCAGGCACCAACAGTTGTTTGATGTAAGGACGACGTACCTAATAACATTAAGTAGTTTTTTAAGTTTATTAATTTCAAACAAGTAATAAAATTCGTGATAGAATTCTCATTTACTTTATCTGTACTCAATTCTGCAACACGGATAATTTGGATTGATGAGAAACGAGCACGGTGACGAGCTGCCATGTCTTGATCTATTTTTATTAAAGCAATATCGCAAAAAAATTAGTTTCTTTCCCGCTCTTTTATATTCCGTGTAAAGATAATTAACTTACAGCATGCTTCAACGGCGTCAGTTCTGAATTATGAGAAACAATATAGATAGTATTAAAATTTGTGTCAAATATATAAATAAAAATATGTATTTTCAAATAATTTTTTATAGGATAATAATTAACCTTGTCAATTCTCTGTATTCTTTATACATATTATGTGTACCAGATCTCGAGTCGTAACGAAGCCATATGCCGTAATTTTTAATCTGCAGCGGTTTCTTTTCAAAAATCTATTAAAAATATTTCGATTTTCATCTATTATACACATCATCACGTTTGATTAACTAAATTTCACTCATTCATGACCAAAAAATTTACCTCATTTATCGAAACCAATTCGCCAGCAGCCTTTTTAACTTTTCTAAGTTTCTTCAGGAAATACCAAAACCGACTTTTTGCCACCACCTCGTTTGGCGCGAAAAGTCTCAGCCTGTATAGTCGAGGCACTTTTTCTTTCTCGCTTGGTAGTTTTCGGCCGACAACTTGGTATTCGTGCAACTAACATGATATAAATTTACGTGTTTAAAAATGTGAATTCCTTCATTAATTCATCGAACAAAGTTTCCCATCCATCCATCTTTTCAAAAAATTGTTCATTTGTAATTATATAAATTTCTCAATGAAACACTAACGGATATTTAAGTACAAGCAAAAAAACACGTACTCTACCCATGCTGCTTTATTGCTGGATATCGATTGATGTGAGAAAGGGAAGAGAACAGATATTTTTTGGTTAAAGATTCGAAAATTTTGATGATGTCATCGTTTATTTTTTTTTTTTTAGTGTGCTACATCAAAATCTTTCTAACGACAAAGAAATCAATTCACCTTCGATCGTCGTCCGAAAGTTAGCATGTATTCTTCAGTTCGCACCGCTCGTTCAGCTGTGGCATTTGCCAGTCAGAGGTACCTACAATTCCTTCTTGTAGCATTAGACGAATATTTCTGAAAAAGTTTGGTCTTATATTGTTGCATTTTAACAGCACAAATTGTATAGTTTTCTAACTTTTTTTGCCGTCTAGCGCCTTTGCGTGTCAAGCCCGAAACTATGCCACTCTAAAAGAAAGTAAGACAATTTTTAATGAAAAAAGTTATATTTTTACGTTGGTCTCGAGCTTTCTATTATTTATTTAATACTTTGTTTTACACAGTACAACTCCGTTTAAAATCTGTCAACAACATTGCAAAGGTAACAAATAAAAGCATTCTTTCTTATCCACTTAAAAAAAGATCAACTATTCGATTAATCAAACGAAATTCAAGGATTATACAAACATATATCAAACACATCAACA